TCACACTGCGCAAACCGGTTGGGTCCAACTAGCTCCTCTTTTGTTTCGGAACCCATGCAAATGACTGGCATCCGAACACTCTCAGTTTCCCAACATCTGGTTTCTCACCGTGCCAACATTCAGCCGGGGTACAGTTTTGCTTCAACGCTTCAGTTGGACTTCGGTTTGTTGTGTACACTGCATTCAATACTGCTTCGCCCCACATAGATTTCGGTGCTCCGGATTCAGCTAGCATAGTCCTCATTTTTTCCACAATGGTCCGGTTGAACCTCTCTGCTACTCCGTTATGCTGTGGTGTATAACCAACGGTTGATTCAACTTGAATTCCTTGTTTCATATAGTACGCAAGCTGATCATTCGAAAAGTATTCTCTTCCCAGGTCACACCTCAAGTTTGCGATCTTGTTCCCGAACTTTGCCGTTGCCATGGCCTCGTATACTTTGAAGAAATCAAACACTTGGTCCTTCCGTTTCATCAAATATATAACAGCAAAATGAGTATAGTCATCGATAAACGACACGAAGTACTGATACCCATCTACTGTTTTTGGTGTTATCTGGCCGCAAACATCCGTATGAACACGCTCCAATGGTCTTGTTGTGCTCGGTCGACTCTTGTTGAATGGCAACCGGGTCAGCTTGCTCTCTGCACAGGACTCGCAAAATCCCAGGCCAGTGACAAGACCTATACTAACAGCAGAGTTTGACAGTAGGCAGCATGTCCCGGGCTCAAATCGTTTATTTTGCTGTGCTGGGCCCGCTGTCACGGTATAACATGTTGCCTGCGCGCCTGCCACTGGACTGCAAAATCCACTTTCATTTCTAATTTCCCCGATTCCATCCACCATTTCGCTCTGCTTCAGGCGTCGTACATTCTTGAAGCTCAAGTTACCAAACCGTTTGTGCCATAGCTGCAACTCATCACCATCACCTTTCGCAAGGATGGCCGAATCTGATGTATAACGCTGCATCGTCAGGTAGAATGGATTCTCGCGTAGTTCCGCCACAGCTATTGTTTCACCGTTTTTGGACAACACTGCTCGATCCGGCTGGAATTCCACTTGGACTCCTGCTTTCAGCAACCGCGACAATGACAGCAAATTGAACTTGAGGTTCTTCACAAATAAGACGTTTCCCAACGACAATGTCAGACTGTTCTCACCCTCTTTAGTAGCAATAAGTTTCTCACCTTGCTTGGCACTTTCAATTACCAGCGGTCTGTCGAACTCCTTGAACTCGTGAAAATACCGCTCATCATTGGCCATGTGACGACTTGCTCCCGAGTCCAATATCCATTCAATGTCCAATTTCGACTTGTAGATCGCTTCCTGGGAAAACATCAACGCCACTTCTCTGTCTACGGGAACAGTTGCTACTTGAGCTCGATCATACCGCTTTTTGAACTTTGGATATGCAACCTTCTTGTGTCCTTGTTTACCACACCCAAAGCATTTTCCTTGAAACTTGGACTTTTCCTTGCTTCTTTCCGACTTCGCTGCAAACGCTGATCCTGATCCATCCGAGACACCATTGGCACATGAATTGTCTCCTCTTCCCATTCGTTTCTGCCCTTCGGCCAGCAAACGTGCCTTCACCGTGTCCAACTTCAACTGATCATCTCCCAGGTTCTCCATAGCCGTGGTGACAACATCGTACGTCGATGGCAGAGAAATGAACAGTTGACTTTCGGCATCTAACTCCGTGACAGTAGCACTAGCTCCCTTCAACTGGCGGACTATCTCGTCAAATTTTCGGAAGTGGTCCTTTAACGGTGTTCCTTCTTCCATCTTCAGCGTTGCTAAAGGACCTCCGAATGTATGTTTGCGCTGCAAAACCCTTCTTCGCGAACGTGCTTGCCAGGGAGTTCCACATTTCCTTCGCAGTGTTCTTGTCACGCACGTACTCCAGATGAGAATCCGCGATGTACGCAACTAGAAGAGCCTTCACCTTTTCGTCCTGTTCTTGAAAAGCTTTCCTCTGCGCTTCGTCAGCTGGTACATCCTTCGTGATCATTTCCTTCACGCCGTGAGCCGACAACTGCGTTTCGACCCGGAACCTCCACACGTCGTATCCTTCACCAGCAAACTGGACTATTTCTACTTTCGCCGCGCTTGACATCTTCACTTCTGTTCTTCAAATCAATTAGCTTCAACTTCAGAGGCCGGATAACGGGTAAACAAGTTCTTAACTACAGAAATCAACTGCTCCTTCGATCCAACTCTTCAGAAACATACCACAAAATTTTCCACAATACATGGCGGTTTGCACCACTGGTTGTTGTAATTGAAGCTTTCAGCAGTTATTGACGAGTGCACGGATGGATTTGAGTTCACTCACTCGACAAAAAGTGACACAACAGCGGGGCCCTGTTTACTAAAAATGAACATATATGTGTTCATTTTTAGTAAACAGGGCCCCGCTGTTGTGTCACTTTTTGTCGAGTGAGTGAACTCAAATCCATCCGTGCACTCGTCAATGCGTCAAACGGGAGCAACACGGAAACAGCAGTCTGGTACGCTTTGGACGTTATCATACTTGCAGACCGGTTTGAATGTGTGAGTTTTTATTTTATTAATTAGAAGAACATTTGTGATGTATGGGTGCCCAAAGTGTGCATTTCTCGCTGTGCACTTGGATATCCAATTGCAGACAAAGAGAGTAATGGAGAAAGAGAGCGCAAAAGCCGCTCTCACTCTCTTGTCAGTTGTGAATCCCTCAATTGGCGTTGACGGCGACTCTGTAGCTCTTTACTCCTATGAGAAAATCCATAAGCAAACGTCAGACTGTGCGTGAAACATGGCGGACTTTGTACTATCCTTTCACTCCACCGAAAATTCCTATAAGAAACTGTCTATATTTGCTGAAAGAGCAAATTTTTCGACGGTGCCGTCAACGCCAATTACCGATAGTTGCACCGGTGCGCCTGTCAAAACTTATGAGCTTCCCCTGGTTTATTCTGATAGTGTTGTTCTGGTGAATAAAGAGTTGATTAATTCAAGCTTGCTACCCAGTGGACTATGAATTTTCTCTAGATTTTGACACTGTTTTGTATCAAAAAATGTTTTCGGAACTGTTTGACGGATATTCTTTATTACACTTCAGTCGAAAGAGTTAGCCTTGTGATAAAAACTAGAATTCAAGCTGAACATTGCATTAGGTCCTAAGTAACATTGACAGCTTATCTCCGTCGACTTTCTCTTTGTATCTCCACGGCCATGTAAAGACATTCCCAGGTATTTTCAGCACACCGATCGATAAAAGAAGCTTTTATCTAGCATCTAATACGACAAACACAACAAGAAATGGTTATGTGCTCAAGTTATTAATGAAATAGAAAATCGACGAAGAGAATCGATCAATATTACTTAGAACCTAATGCAATGTTCAGCTGGAATTTGTTAAGTTTTGCAATTCCTCCTACTTCGGTTAGCGCGAAAAGGGCCATACAAGTTTTGTTTATACAAGATGATAGGCCCTTCAAATGTTACGTTAGGAAGTGATTACCCAAGTAACATTGCAAGCTTTAGAGAGGTTTAATAGCATTCTACAAACCTAAATCGTAGTCTACAGAACCCTGATAAAACCAAAATTGTTACTTGGGAGAATATGTCCCTTGAATTCATGGAGCATTGAAAAATAAAAAAATAAAACTAATACGAGGTGGTATCCCAACAAACAATTGCCTATTGAAGAAACGACTTCTTGGCGATTTTATTCCACTTCATGCTTAATAATGCTTGTACTATTTTTAATAATAACTTCTGTTCAGGCTTTGTTCACACAAATCTGGAGAATTTGTTCAACCACAACATCAAAATATTTGGTGTTGAATAAAGTATGTCGAGAAGCTTTTATTCGACTTACAAAAGTTGTAACAGAGCTTATTCGATCAAATTTTTGATTATTCAGCATCTATTAGACAGCATTACTTCCTTAGACAGCGATGGTTTAAAGGTGTATTTTTTAGACGCTTCCCAAGTAACAATAGCATGTTTAAGTAACATGTATGTGGCAATAGAGTTCAGCTACTTCTTGAATAACTGCTGTTTAATTTTCGCGCAGAACTTCTGTTCATCTTTTATTCACCCAGCTTTGAAGAATTTGTTCATCTTTAAGCATCCCACTTAGATAATCTAAACAATTCATAAGCCTTAGTAGAGCTAATAACCAGATCTAATATAACACCGACATCTCCTTCGTAACATTTGTTCAATATGTGTTCAGCATTACGATTCACATTAGTAGCACAGTTTAGTTTTTCCTTGTTGATTTATGTTCACGATGAAATCATTCTTCAACATCAATTAGACATATTTCAAATGTTATTCTATCGTTTGTTGAACTTTTATTCAACATTATTAAAAATTAAAGAAGTTGTTTTATCTCTTGTATGATTTTCATACAACACAAACTTATCCATTTGGATGCATTTGTATATACATATATATTATTGTAACAGATCAACATTAACACATTACAAAGACGTGAGATACATTTATTTTTATTAAGTAACAAGATTTGAACCCAGCACCTTTGAATCCTCAGTCGCGTGTCTTTCCATCTGTGCTATCCTGTAATTGATTATATCACCAGCAAATCCCCTATATAAGCTATATGTTCCATGTTGAATAATAGCAGGGTTTATCCTTGACTTCAGCAATATTTTTTATTCTATTTATAGCATTGCTTATCAATAAGCAACATTATAGCTTAATAACACCTTTTATATATTGTTATTGAGCTTATGTATTATCAAGCCCAACAAAAACTGTGCTGATATTTGTTGGATTTTACTACGTGCATCAACGACAACATTCAAGGGCATGTTGAACAGAAGATGAATAAAAGTTATAACAATGGTTTTCAGTACTATCTGGTTGCACTGCACTGTTTTCTAATTTGACATTTTGACTTGTCAGCATCATTTCAGTGACAGGTTTGCACAAGATAAGTTCCCCTAAAATCGCGTGAAAAATTTGATTGTTTTGTGTGGTGGAGAGAACTGCTGGCTAATAAAATGAACCAAAACAAAGGTAAATACTTTTAATATAAACAAAAGACCCACTGTAATTAGTTATTCTAGGTGACTACTTTGTTGTCGTCCAAACAAAGGAAGCCGGAAAACCTGTCTTAACCGTGGTTCCACATCAGTGGGTGAGCGATGGGTTCCTTATGTGGCCGGGCAAACATGCAAATGTTCTCCGGAAGAAAGCCACTAGTCAACCACACAGTTCATGGAGCAAGATTCCATGCACTGTGAAAAGGCGTTATATACCGACGTTTGCTGAAGCGGAACTAGAAGCAGCCGATCTTTCAGGCCAATCAACAGAAGCCTCAGATGCAGCACCCAGAACTAAAAAGAAGAAAACTACTCAGTTGAAGCTGTCGAAAAATCGCTTTGATTTCAATTATTTGGTTGAAGGTAAATATTTGTTTGGATTTTATTTATTTCATGTGACTTAATCTACAATTTTATTTTAGGAAATGGTGGGTCTCGTAATGCGATCAATCGTTCTCCTCGACAACCTGTAGCAGACGTACTGACGAATCAAAGTACAATGGACGTAGGACAATCCCAATAAATGGTCTTTTGTCATCCGGATCTAAGCTTGGTGATGCCAACATCGCAAAATCATGCAATTCATGATGCACAGCAGCTTCCGCAATTGTTATATCAAACGGTTGACAATCCCTCTCCTGTCGACAACTTGAATTTTACTATTCAATCACCTCCAAAATCTCTTCAGGATATTGCTCCGATTACTGATGGCGTAGATTCATCATCAAGAGACTACGTAATTATTCAGGACGTAAGCTTTAACGAATATTTTCTTGCTTTAAAAGAACAGTTATGTACATTTGTATGAAATATTAATTTTTTTGAGCTCTTTGTTGTTGACTTTGTTGTTGACGAGTAAATCATTAATTATGAAATAATTATTAATAAATGATTTTTTTGTTTATTTTTCAGCCTGCTATTGATGGAAACAAGATTGTTGAAGACATTTCGAAGATAATCGATAGTGCATGTGAAAAGGTGATCGAGACAGTAACCTCAAAGGTCGGTTCAATGTTGGCAGGATTGAAAGGTGACATGGACGTGAAGTTAGCTGCAGCGCTGCGGATGCAAACTATAAACCAGCACGTAGAAGACGACTTTACATTTTCTCCTGTATCCTCCATCCTGGGAATTCAAGCACTTGAACAAGAGCTTGAAGATGAAAACTTTGCGAGAAGATTGGTAAGTACTCTTAATAGTGATATGAATTATTTGTTTACTGAATCTTATATTGTCATGCTTTTATTTTAGGCTCTTCATATGAAGAAGATCGTGGGCTACACTCCTGATAATTGCAATGGACTGAATGTGTGCTATTCATTGATTGATAATTTTTTTGATCGTGGCCTTATGCTTCATTGCTCGTGGAGTGGAGGAAGTCGAGGTCCAGCACCCAAATTTGCCATGAAATCCTGTTCCAACATTCTGAACACATTCTTCGAGATAGTGTATAGTGTTAATATTACATTTTCTAGAAGCTTGATGGAGCATTTCTTCAAGCAAATTACTCGCAATTCAAAAAGTCGTTGCAAGGCAAAAGGTTTGCGACAACCAACAGTCCATCGTAGAGGAAAGAAAGTGGCTTGTAAAGTTCAAGGTATAACACTATATTATTAGTTTATAAAAATACTTATAAGAGCTTATACTTCTACAATATTTTATCTAGCTGATGAAAACAACGGTCACCAGAACAGAGAAGAACGATCGGATTCCTTCAGCAGCTCCGAAACGGAACGTGAGGGAAGTGAAGATCTAGGTGAAGGCTACTCAGGGGAACAGCAGGAAAGTGAGAAATTTCTTGGCTTTCCATAGAGCTTTTCGGTTTCATGACGTTTTAGTACGCAGCATCGGTTGTTAAATGTTTATATTTTTTTAAACACGTGTACTTATTTTTTTTTACTTTCTTTTCGAGTTTAACCAAAGAGTTAATTTGATTTTAATAACTAAGGTTTTAAACATCCTTTCGATTGATTTAATTGAGTGGTCTGTCAAGATCTGTCTGTAGTCTCTGTACAACTTCTTTCTAGCATTATAAATGAATGCATATGCTTCTTATCTGGTTACAATATTTTTTATTTAAATGATTCACTCGTCTATGCATGTTGATGTTTACTTAAATGTATGCAGCAATGGTACGAAAACAAAATATCCGTCTTAATAACTAATTACGACATACTTACAAACTATATCAGTCGAAAAGTACAGTTTTGGTTTTTTCAGCAAAGAGATATTTACTTTATAAATGTATAGATTTGAAGAACGGATGGGTAATGTAAAAAAGTTAGTCCTGTTTGTTGTTGCGCAACCATGGATCAAAATGTCATTTTTGTCATTGAATGATGCATTAACCAACTTTACAATTTCATTCTGTTTGGTCAAGAATCATGAGTTTTCAAATGAATTATTAAGTATAAATCCATCATGAATTATAACTTCGACATTCTTACCATGTCTGGATATAGCTGGGACTACATTCGTGGTTTCGTTTTTGTTCATTTTAACAGTGTTTCTTTCTAGAAGCCTGTTAGCTACTTGCTCCAAGCAGTTGTTTCCTTGTCGGACGTACCTTTTAAGTTGAGAAAGATAATTCTCAAATGGATATGCTGAAATAGAATATAAGGACCCAAACCTACGCACATCATTAACGATGTGTTCCAAATTATGTATGTTACTGGTTATATACTCTTGACCATAAATTTCTTTGAATTCTTCTATAAACTTTTCGAAAAGAATTTGTGCTAATGACCTCAAACCAATATGCTTATCTGACAAGCTTATTGTGACGGCAGTAAACAGAAGAAGAAAATGATTATACAATGTTTCATTTAAAAAATCTTTGAGTACAACAATGCTGATGTAGTTTAGGAACGTATGCCACTCAGTGCCTTTCCAAAATGCCAAACAATCCATTGATCTAGTCTTCCGGTGAAACTCTTTAGGTAGTTTTACTTTTACAATTACATTAGATAATTGTTGTATTTGAAGAGCACTTAATTTCCCCATGAATCCAAAGTTACCATCTCTCCAACCAATAAGAAGACGCTTCATCAATCCAAGGTCTAACAGGTGAAGAGAGTCAGCAACCACAAAGTCTTGAATCATGTCTAGCTTAGGGATTCTTAACAGAGGGGATATTTGGTTAGTGTGATGTTGACCATATTTCTTTTGCCGAAACTTCTCATCTATCCTGAGAGGGCAACGCAGCGATGGAAACACCACTGTGCGTGAAACGTAGGAATATTCTCCGTGAATCGTACACTTAAGACATCCGTTTTTCCCATTAAAATTCACAACTCCTGAAAATATACTAATTTAGTTACAAACCTATAGGTAGATATGACGCATTACAAAAATACAGCGTGGGAATAGTTTACCTTTTACAAATGCACGAGCAGGAGAGTCACATATCAGGCATCTCACTCTGATATTAATAGTGCGATAATTAATGATGCATCCCTTTTCCAAAATTGGTAAAAGTTCGTCTACAAATGGTGTTAAGAACTCATTCACACTCGACGGTTTACTTTTACCTAAGAAGATTCCGACAGGCAAAGGTTTCAATTGAGGCATTTCATGAACGTTGCATAGTATTGGCCATAACTGATATTTTGAACTTTTGTATATAGGCAATCCATCTACATTGATGTTTAAACTTATTGATATACTTTCATCCACGTTAGCAAACCATTGATCTAAGCAGGCTTTAAGACCATGATGCCAATATTTACCTCCAGCCATGTCAATACACAGCTTACCAGTAGCTTGTGGAGTTTCAAGTAAGGTCCTGGGATCTAATGGCAAATGTACATCTTTGTATTCCAGTTTTAGTAATTTCAACAAGCCTCTCAAAGCTTGATGGGTAATATTGTGCTGAACTGCCCATGTCTTGAGAGCATCGCGGAAATGGTCGTTCTGCTGTTCAAGTTCGGTATTATTTTCCAATCTATTATCAATGCCAGTTGCAAACGTAACATTCTGGCTGTTTAATTCGATGGAACTCATTTCGTCATCAGCAGATATTGAACCTTCAGAGCTTCCAGCATTGTGAGGTTCCATCTCGGAATCTTAAATGAAAATATGGAATACTTCCATATATATGTAATAAACAACTATAATTGAAATTTTGATTGAATTATTCATACCTGAATCTGTTGATTCAATGTCCTGTTCGTTTAATGGGACCACAGAAGATGTAGCTTTTCTTTTTACACTTGAGGAGAGTTCCTTGAAAGGTTGCTCATATTTTTCGCGTTTCTTTTTGGATGCGCGGTGAAACGATCCACTTTTCTTGTATTTTTTAAATACTTCATCCATTTCGGCAAGAAAATATGGCAGAAAACTTAACACATCGTTACATATTAGGGATTATAATAATCCAAAACATTAGAATGCACTGAATTCGATCCAAGCAGTAACATTTATCCAGCATTGATTTATGTTGAAGTCGCATTATTGAGACAGTTAGTATACTCGGGAGATCTTTATTCAGTGTTTGAATGACATTCGGTATAGCTCAAGATTTGTTTCGATGAGTAATGATATAAGGCATAACTATATTCTTCAATTCAACATCAGGTTTAGTTAGCAAAGCTTTATAAACGGTGTCCCGTTAGACTCATAAACTGTATTTCAGTTAATTGTTGAGCTAGTTAAATCTAGTCGAATAAAAATCACTGCGGACACCTTTATACAGCATTTGAATTATTTAATTTTAGCTCACGGTTTTATTTGCTCAATAGTAATGTAAAGCATAGCTATTATTCAATTCAGTATTAGGTTTAGTTAAAAAAGCTATATAAACGGTGTCGCAATAGATTAATAAACTGTTGTTCAACTTATTGTTGAGCTAATTACAGTTAGTCAAATAAAAAGGTTACAAAATCTTTTACTAAGCATGCAATTCAAACAGATGGAAAAGTTTGAATAAATGTGAAAATGTCAATTGATAATAAGGTTATTCAGCTCAAAGTTCAGCAAGATTTCTTATTAAGCTATGAAAGTAGTAATTCAGCTTTTATAAAGCATGTATGTTTATTTACAGCTTTGATTTGTTTGTTGGGATACTATAACGAACAAAGCTTGGTGCACAGGTAAACAAATGAGGCACGCGACGCCTCTGCCTTAACTACTACGTTATTTATGAAAGTTTCCTAAGCATTGGGAAACAGTGAAATCAGTGCCATGTCTCAACAGTGTTCCTATTTTAATATTCAGACAGGACTTCTTCAAAATGCTATGAAAAAGCACACAAAAACGGGTTTGACATTTATGCGAAAATTACATTTCCGGTATATCTTTTATCTACCGATTGAATTGAAAAAAATACTAAATATTGTTTTTTTTTTAGATTTCGTGCGTTTTAAGAACGCATATCCATTATTTTGCATAAGAAAACGGGGTGTTTCTGTGGTGAAAAAAAGGATATCCCTGCACAGATTACTGATTTCTGTACCAAACACTGAAATTATCAAACGTTATCTCTATTTATGCTTTTAGATTAGCTATGTAAGTCCATCCTACTTGGAAAATTGTGCTATAGAACGGTTTATGAAACACCGGATTTGTTGCTGATGGGGGCGAGGCATAGCAAGCCGCTCGATTGCATAATTCTCGAAGTAGGAGGGACTTACAATGCTATTCTCTTAGCATAAATAGAGGTACCGTCGAGTTTTTTGCAGTGCTAGGTACTGAAATTCGACAGTGAGTGTTGAAAAGGGCCTACTTGCAACGATCGATTCTCTTCAACGATTTTCTCTACAGCCAAGCGAAGCAATTCAAGCTGAACATTGCATTACGTCCTAAGTAACATTGACCGAGTCTCTTTGTCGACTTTCTCCTTGTATCCCCTCGGCCATGTAAAAACATTCCCAGGTATTTTCCGCCAGGGGGCCTCATAGCCTAGTCAGTAAAGGCACGGGATGGGCGCTGTGCAATGAATCATCTGAAGAAAACCTTACTCATATCTGATAACCAAGTTTTACTTAGTAAGAAATCCAAAACATGTACATAGGACCAAAATCAAAGGCTACTTCTACTATATTTTATATCAATATCTAGATAATTAGAGAAATACACGAGAATTTCACTACACAGCTTAACATAGTCTACGTCAACCATGCGGTCGTGTCTTGTACACAACCCCACCATTTTTATTTTGCGTCAATATTTGCATCAATATGAATACTTTTGACTGGACTGTTGACTATTGACACTATTTTTGGCCGTACGGTGCGTTGTCTAGCCTGTTTTTCAACCCGAATCTCCAAATTCATGCCTTCTCGTCGCTCCAAAGCCACGTAGCCAGCTGGTAGCCATCGTAGGCCATGAGAGCGGCCGATACGTACGGAATCCAACCGGACGCCAGGCATTTACTGATGCGTGTCCCGGTGAAAACGGCCGCCGAACGCCAAGTGCCCGACCGGATCACCCCCCTGGACACCGAAGAGAAGGCCTGGGTTGTGTAGCGGATGCTACCAGCTCGGAGTGCAGCCTTCCCAAACAGTGCCGGTACCACGCCGGAAGCAACCCCAGCTGCTTCTACAGCCAGACGAGCCACTGTTCCAACGATCGAGGTGTTTTTGACGACAGGGGGAGGAATCTCTGGTACCGTATACACGGAGTTGTACATGACAATCGACAATACACTGTAAAGGTAATACAGAACATTAGGTGTAAGTTTTGTTTTATCAAGATACCACAGGCTTACACAAAAATAGCAGCGATAAATGTTTTATACAAGCAACCCATTTTGCTAATTATTCTATCAAACTTAACAGTCGGAAAACAGACGAAACATTATCAATCACTCACTGCACAGAGGAATCTTTGTTCTGATTTTGTTCGAAATTTTAACTGATATGTACTATTAAGCTTTTTCACCTACCATATTTATTTATTTTTTCGTCGTTATCAATGTTATATGAATCAACAGGCTTATTGATAAATTTAAGCTAAGGCAAAACTGGCCAACTAGACCCTCTCTAATACTTCTCTGTGCTAATATCTACCTACCATATATATTTTTTTCTTTGGATTTGTCTTTTCAGACAGGCTAAGACCATGACTGGTCCATCCCGCAAATACCTACCATATTTATTTATTTCTTCATCGTTATCAATGTTATCAATAAACAGGCTTATTCGATCACGCTCGTTCAAATTTACTCTAAAGTGAGTAAAATTCCACTCACTTTCGTTAAAAGTGGAACTACCCTAATACTATAGGTATCACGTGTCTTGCAATGAGCACTCATACATCTAGTTTTCACTGCATTTAAATCAAAAAATATGTTCATTTTTTAAAAATATAAATAGTTCAAAGTAAATTGAAAAAACGTTTTCAACAAAAATATGTATGTTTGAATTAAATTCAAAAGTATGTTTATTTCAACAATACATAATCTGGGTAAACAATTTTCAGCGTGTCCTTTTTTCCTTGTTGTTTACATTCGGCAAACTCAACCGAAAACGGGCTGCAAACGGCGAAACCGATGTAGATGGTCCGGAAACCCACGCAAATAAGTGTTCCAAGCTCGACAAAACCGGTGGAACCCCACAATACCAACGTCACTCCGTCGTTTCTGATGCCGATCCCCATATACAGATAATCCCCCAACACCAAACGTAGAAAGAGGCCGGTATGAGGGCCAGCGTCAGAAACGACAAACCGAACTGGAACCCCCACTCCGACGGCCTCCCGGATCTCGGACCCGGATCCCAACACCCATATACCACCCTTAATCGCACCGATAAATAGCAGGAATATTGATGCCCTGTCTGCCGATTTCCATTCATTTGCTATCCATTTTAAAATAATTTCAAAATTTGTTTTTTTTTTTTTTATTTTAAACATGAAAAGTATGTTTGAAATAAACATAATTTTGATCACATATATAGTTGTCAAATCAAAATACAAAAATATTCACGTTTATTCTAAATACGAATACTTTTATAATAAACGTAGCAATATTTTGTTTTAAACAATATTAACAATGGATTCAAACATGGAATACGTTTGAAATCAATCTTTTATATTTGTGGCCAAAACAAACTGAGTTTACGTTTAAATTTACCTCAAATATGTTTGTTTCGACGGTATTTTTTTCTGCGTGTGGAGTGTATGAGTGCTCATTTGCAAGACAGCCTATATTACATGATATAAGCCATAGTCAGTGCGGTATATAAACACAGAAAACAGACGTTGGTGTTCAGGACGGTGCCCAACCGGTCGAATTATTAACAGCGGGGCAGATATTACCAACAGCGGAGTGTCAAAACGATCGACTCACGATCAGCAGTCGATCATCCACAAGTCCGTAGCCCACTCAGTACACCGTAAAAAATCGACACGTCAACATAAAGTGTCTTGCACATACATTTGCACTTATTATCATCAACATGAAACCAAAGGTAAAACACTTAAAGTAATCCACTGAGGAGCATGGTTATTTAAAAAAAGGAATCAATTGAATTCAATGTGCATTGCACTTGATTTTATATATGATTTGAACATAAAATTGAATAGTTTTCGAATGGCATGTTACTATTTCATAACATAGAAACGCTATATTTTTGCATTTCAAAACCAATGGTACCATTTATGAAATCCATTGACATACAAACATTCTTTGTAAAGTTTAATGTTATAAATGCGCAAATAAAATACTCTCTGATCTATTAAAAAAATCGTTTATTTCATGTGTTCACTACTATCATATAAGAAACATGGGATTTATTTAACATTTGTTTCATACTTATATTCTAGTATATCTTAAATCTAGTTAATCTTACTTAAACATTAGACGTCACTGTCTTCGTACGAAAAGTTGCGTTTTTTTTCGAAAATAATATTTTTCATTAATCGTATGGATCATTATTGGAGGTCCATCCACATCTGATAATGGAACAATTTTTAAAAGTTGAGTACTGGCAATCGCTTCAAAAGCTAACAAGTGATTATTGAACTCGCCACATTCCCACAGTTTAGCAACAAAATATATGTTT